AGTATTCAGGGGGTGTGGGTGGGGGGACAGATGAAATGCCGGGGATTGAACCTGGGTCAGCCATGTGCAAGGAAAATGCCCTACCAGCTGTACTATCGCTCTGGCCCCAAACAATCATTTTTAATAGATCATGTTTCCAAATGATATATTTTCAAAAACATCTGAAATATTAGGTAACTTTTCCACATCCTCCAAAGACACCTGGTTAATATCTCTCCATGGTTACATTCTCTTTATTAAAAGAGAGAAAGAGAAAGAGACACAGAGAGAAAGCTTCAGGCAAGAGAGAGCACAGAAGGTAGGGTACTTGCCTTGTATACTGCCAGTCCCATTTTGAGCCCCGGCATATGGTCCCCGAGTACTGCCAGGAGATATCCTAGAGTACAGAGTCAGGAGTATGCTCCGAGCACTATCAGAAGTGGCCCAATTCACTCCCCACTCCAAATTAAATAATTTACAAAAGAGAATGCTTATCAGACCGGTTTCTTTGGCTGAACTGTCTCTTTTCACCATCTCCCTGCTAAGGCATACTACGAGAATGCAGTGTAAACAATATTAGTTCCTCCGTTTGACACAAAGAGCTGGCAAGGAGAGCTGATTCCAGGTGTCACACAAGTCATGGTGGCCCTGCATGTCTCTGGTCCAGGATGAGTGTCACACTCCTTCAAGTCAGCCATACTCTGTCATCTGTGCACATCTGGCAGATGTTCAGAATTCCAGAGCAAGTCTTTCACCAAAAGGCAATGATGTCTATTCTGAAGTTCAAATAAAGGCTGAATCTAAGTTTGGTTTCTTATCTAAGACATTTTGCTTCAAACATTTGTCAAGAATGCTGAAAAACGGCAAATTTGGAATTTGAATGGAAGTTCCCAATCCTTATTCTTCTGAAAACACCATTCTTCCTCAATATCCTCCTGGAATTTGTCTTTCCTCCTTGGCAATTACTTTCTTAAATACATATACACACATATATGGAGATATAACGGAGCCATTCATTTATTCTTTCAATGATCCAACATTTATTGGGTGTCTATCATACAAGCTAAACAGAAGAAAATGTTTAATTCACTGCTCAAAAAAAAAATCTAAGTTTTTAAAAACCATGACACTGATTTTTCTCTCTATCCACCTAGCAAGGCTTAGATTTTCCTGGAACTTAGATTTTTCTTTTTATCCACCTCGTTTGCCCACAAACAAGCAATTGAATTAGAAACTAACCAGTATCTCTGGCAATTCTTTCTCAGGCACTAGAGTTTGGCACATGTGTGTTCTCAGACTAGTACTGTCAAAAGAGTAATTTAAAGTTGCTCTGGACAGAGCTGTGCCTTACAAATGGCTGACTTGGGTTTGGTTCTCATGTATGGTCATTGGAGCCCCACCAGGACTGATCCCGGAAGGCAGAGCCAGGAGAAAGCCCTGAGCACATCTGGCTATGGCCCCAAAACAACAACAAAGGTCATTTTGGAGCTTAGATTTTCCCCAATACCGAGCTTCAGTCTAGCTTTTCTGTAGAAGAGCACATTAAAAGCTTGAAACCCAGAGAATGGCCAGTTAAGAAAGCCAGGGAATGGCTGAGAAGATACCCCAATCCTATTCCATTTGTTAATCTTATGCTAATTTTCCTCATACTCATCTAGACAATGGTGTGTGTTGAGAGCTGTCATTAAAACAGTAACAGCCATTTTCAGTTCTTCCAATATTATTGGGACAGAAATTTGTGCCTAAGTCCATTAAGGACACTATACTGATAATTGCTTATATACTGTCACCCAAATTTGACCATGAAAACTGGGTTATCAAGAGCTTCTGGTTTCTGCTTTAGTATAAAGAGCTTGGGAGTTGCTTTTCCTATCCTTGAATGAGAAAAGGCTGGACACACGAAAAAGCAACTTTTCTTGGACTTACCACAGAAATGGGGTGACAGGGCCAAAGACCAGTCTGGGCCCAAGACAGGTTCACCCAGCTCTCGGCAATACCACTAGAATTTGCGTAGATGCTGAAGCTACTAGAGGCAGGGACTCATAGGAATAGTTACAACATAGTCTCTGTGGTTCCCTGCCAGAATTGTGTCAATCACTAGATGTTAAGTGGTGTGTGTGTATTCACTGTGCCATGCCAAGACTCAAGAGCTAAATGGATTTCTCATACACACAGCATAATGAACTCATGACAAATCCTCAGTGGTCTTTTCACCAATGGTGAAAGTCGTGTATTCACAGCTGTTCTCCTCAAGTGCTGCTTTATTTATTCACTATCAAAATTCTTTTCAGCCATGGGTCCCCTCCTTCCTGCTTACATTTCCCTTCACTCTTAGTAGATACACTGAACACACCCATGACCTCCACCAGGGAGCTGAAGTCTGGGCCCTTGGAATTCTGACACACATGGATTGAAATTCTTCGGAGTTATACTCGAAATCCACACAAAAAGTGACATATTCTGAGGTGATAAGCAGAATCTCAGCAGTCTGGAATCATTCAAAGTTTTCCGATCAAACAGAAGATAGAGGATATCAGTTTCAAGAAATTCAAGCTTTATCCTAGTTAATTGAAAGAGTGGTTGGCTTTGTAAAATAATGGTCATGTCAAGGTTAGCATGTATTCTCATTTTCTGTAATATCAAATTTGAAGTATTTATCAAGTATTTAGGTATTTGCTTGAGATACAAAGAACAATTGGGAATCTGGCAAAACCATCCTCAAAAGCTTCATGTATGAATTTCCTGCTACTTGGTTTATAGTAAGGGCCAGTTTTACCACCAAATATACGTGTTTCTTTCATTGCAGACTTTTTACTGAAGAGTTCATGAACATTCCCAATATTGAAGAGTTAAATTAAATTAAATAGTGAAACTCTAATCAGAGTTTCACTATTTAGCAGCTGCACGTGGACTTAGGCTGGAGCAAGGAATTTTTCTTTGCAGGAAAAGAAAGTCAGTCATTGGCCTTACTCAGGGCTTCCAGGTCTCTGTCCTAACTCACACAGCAACGAATTTCAGGAGCAGACAAGTGTGCAATGAAGTGAAAACAAATTTTATTTGGAGGCTTGTTGAGGAAAGGGAAGGAGGGAGAGAAAGGGAGAGAAAGAGAGAAAGTAATGTGCTTAAGAGAGAGAATGTGGCTTCTCCAAAGATGGAGAGATCCCCAGGACACCTCAAGAAAGGAGATGTGGGTGACACATGGGCTTGGGCACCACATGATCTCTGCCACATGGGCACAAGTAGTACATGGACTCAGGCAGCATATGCGTGCCCTATGCTGTTCAAGGTGACTTTTATAGGGTTTTTCTCAAGTTGCCTCATGTGGGGTTCTACCTAGGTAAGAGTGCTAGGGTAACTGCCAAGGGGGTAGAGTTGGGAGTGATGGATGGTTCTCTTTGAAATTCTTTTCCTGGCCTTTGTTCCTTCTGAAGCCTTTGATCCAGCATTCTCAAGGTCTCTTGGCACCAGATAAAGTTTTATCAGGCTTCTGAGCTTAAAAAACTGAGCTCTCTGTAGACTTTGGGCTATTGGTTTTATTACTTCCTAGGAATTCCATTGCCATGGGGGGGCTTCCCAATCTACCTTCCTACATCTTTTTTGTGAAAGTTCATACAATAATACCTGCAAAAAGCCTAACTTGTAATGAGTGCAAAAGAGAAAAAAATGCCATGTTATTGTCTAGAGTTTTGCTTGCCAAAGTAAAGGACAAAAAGAGCCCTCCCCCTCATTCAAGCATCATCAGTTGGACCACAGTTCTCTAGAATACAGAATTTCGCTTTATCCTTCCTGGGTCTTGCAGACTAGAGTCTGAAGATAGGTCAATTTATAAAGCACTGCTGTCAGGCAGAAAGAGAAGTTAGCAAATGAAATTCTTAATACAAATGTAAACTTTGAATAATGAATTTAAAAAATCAACTATTTCAACTTGGGGTGGGAGGGAGACCCTCGGACAGCATCTGTTAAAGACCCCTTTACATTGCTCATGAATATGTATACATTAAGGTCAGTAAAAAGTGGTAGAAGTTCATAAAATACAATCCTATTTGCCTTAAGAAGCCACCACACGGGCAAGAGAGATAGTACATCAGATAAGGCACTTACCTTGCATGCAGCCAAACTGGGTTCAATCTCCAGAACAACATATGGCCGCCCAGGCTCCATGAGGAGCGATCTCTGAGCACAGAGCTAGGAGTAAGCCCTCATCACTGTGGGTGTGGCACAAAGCCTATCATCAAACCAATCAATCAAACAAACAGAAAAGGGGGAAGTCACCATTTTCTCTGAGATCTGAGTGCAATATTACACAAAGGTAAAGGCCCTCCCGTTGATCATCGATTTGCTCGAGCGGGCCCAGTAATGTCTCCATGGGAGACTTTGTTGTTACTATGTCTGGCATATCGAATACAGGCTCTGCTGTGTGGGCGAGATACTCTCGGTAGCTTGCCGGGCTCTCCAAGAGGGGCGGAGGAATCAAACTCGGGTCAGCCATATTGGCTGCGTGCAAGGCAAACGCCCTACCGCTGTGACTGCTAGCCTCCTCGAACACATTCTTCAACAAAGGCAGACCACCACTTATCTGCCTTTTCCTTCCCTTACCATTACCACCTCAACAATATTGTTTTCTTTTGCATCACCAATGATTACTCAAATACGTTACTGTATTTCTCATTTCAGATTTGGTTTCCTTTTCATCTGAAAAAGCAATTACTACTTTCAGCTGCAGGGACAAGTTCAGTTAGCAACCTGACTGAGAATCAGAAAACTTAGGTAAACAGAGTCTGCAGAGTGAATTTATCTATAATTTTTAAATATATTTAAAACCTATATATTCAATTTGTAAAGGTAGCTGAAGGTTATAAGAAATATAATATTAAAGACTCCCATAAAAGATTTCTGTCGAAGGTCCTACATGTCTCAAACACCATGACAAAAATGAAAAGCTTTTGAGGTTGCTTGAATGACTTCGTTTACGACTTTCAGGAAGGCGCTAAACACATCAGAAATAATATCCAGTATTTTAGACAACAGTTTTTATTAAAAAGTGCATTTTAATTAATTTATGACCTAGATAAGCTGTTAAGATGTCAGTATATTCACTGGAATAATGACCTTACAAAGATATAAACAAACAAAATTTTAAAAGCCTTTTTATTTCCTTCACCATTATTGTTTTACAATACAAATATCACCTTGTGAATACACACACACACACACACACACACACACACACACACAAACCCTATGGAAGATAATTCTGCCGCACATAAAATACAGAATGGATATATATATATATATATATATTTCTTCATTCTTAAAAAACTATTTTGTTCTCCATATTGGCAAGTATAGAATAGAATACTTCCCCAAACATTTATGTTAGGAGTAAAACTTAGAGTTACATGCAGTTTCTGCACAAATATATTTTAAAGAAATAGATATCTTTTCTGTTGTTCACCAACAAAATTGTCATGAGAGTATGGATAACTAATATATATAGCTTTCAAGTTTTAGATAAGTGATCATTTTCAAAACTCTCTTTAAAAAATATTCATGGCTGTTTTCATTGTATAGTTAAAATCGAACTACCAAATAGGTGATAAAATAATTTACGTGGAGTTGCCACCTGCTCACAATATGGGAACAGGCTTGAACTTTCCAAGGAACTCCCCATTCTTTAATTCATAGCAATTTAAAAACCATAAGCAGTATTCTGATTTAATTTAGCTATAAATGCAAAATTTAGTTGTGTATACATACATTTATATTTTTATGGAATACTTTATTTTAAATAAAAACATTTAAGATTGCCTACTGACCATACAATCAAGACAAGAAAGGCACTAGAAACATAGACAAATTTCTCTCCCAAGAAGCATCTTTAAATTTCAACTCTTTTCTCTCTGACATGTAAAAATCCTAAATTTGGTTTTCATAACATCATTTTGAAAAATAAAGTTAGGAAATACTTAGAAAATCACTTAATAACAGATTTTTTTTTTTGCACTTTTGGACACACTGTCTCTGCTGATTTTTACAAAACTCAAAGTTACCAAACCTTTCTCTGTCTGTCATTTTTATTTGAATATCGGTGCAACAGGTAAAAAGATTTCAGAATCGAACCCCATTCAGGTACTTAGAAACCTTCATAGAGACATTTACTAGAAAATGGCTTACAGCCCAATCTTTGGGGCAAGAGATATGAAAAGTATGTTTTCCCAAGAAAATAATATGCTTTATTTCCAGGTGTGACTGGAAAGACCAGAACTTATGATATAAAAGCTTACATTTATGTGTTGCATCATATACAAAGGAATATGGTGGCCGCAGGGTATGCAAATCCCAAACTTATGAACAGGAAATGTGTACAGTGCATGATAGGTTAGATTTTCTTTATTGTTGTCCAACGCAGGTCCTTTGGAGAGAAAAAAAGATCACAGTGCTGACCAGGTAACTCAATAGGTTAAGTCAAGGTAACTGTTGAAAGAGAACAGGATTGGGGAGGTGTTTATTTTATGGCATCTTCTCTATGGAGTTCTTAGCACTTCGGACAGTTTCTCTTTCCCCCACTCCATACAGCCGCTATGTGTCATTCACCAACCTGCTGTATTTAACTTGTCTACTGAGGTGGACGACCGGCCAGGGGAAGGGCCAATGGTAAGATCGAGGTACAATTCCTTGGACATTCTTTTCAAAGTACTGAAATGGCCTGTACCACCACACTCTGGCTAGGAGGTTCATCTGGGAAGCTTCTTTTAGCACCTACGGTAACGCAGGAAAGAAAACCAGGTTAGGAAGAATAATTTAATTGTTCCAACTTCAAGAAGAACCAGTCTACCTCTCAAATAACACATCACTTAAAGTTCCAATGTTTTTTCTTTTTGGTTTTTCTTTTTGGCTAAGAGTAGCCCCTTGAGCACACCAGTGGTGCTCAAGGGGCTACTCTTAGCTCAGTGCTGAGGGGTTGTTCCTGGCAATTCTTGGGGAATCATGCCTTGCTGGGGATCAAACATGAGCCTTCTGCACTTAGCCTGTTGAGCTAGGTCTCCAGCCCCAGGCTAAACATCCCCTCCCTTCCCCTTCCCTTTCCTGTCCTTTCCTTTCCCTGTCACACCCACTGGTGCTCAGGGGTTACTCCTGGCTCTGTACTCAGGAATTACTCCTGGCGGTGCTTGGGGATCACATGAGATGCTGGGAATTGAACCCGGTTGGCCGCGTGCAAGGCAAACACCCTACCCGCTGTGCTATCGCTCCAGCCCCTAAACATTTTCTATGTTGAAATTCATAAAGAACCTCAGGTCCACACCACAAAGCCCAGATTCACTCTCGCATCATTATTCTTTTACTCTGTACTCATCTGCAAACTGGGCTCCCTGCTAGCAGAAGAACCACTCCAACTTCAGGAGTGCACAGAGAACATGTGGCATACTCAGTCTCCTTTCTATAAATAGACCCCGCTATTAATTTTTAAGTTACCTACTCTTACATTGGAGATAAACAATTGAACATGAAGCAGCAAGTTGACGAGGGGCCAAGGGCGAAAAGAGGGCAGAAATGCAAGTCAAGCAGAGGTTGATCACAGCTTTGAAAATACTTTTCAGGGAAAATGAGAGCATCACACTTATTTTAGAAAAATAAAATAAAAAATATTAAAAATCATAAAAAATTAAAAAAAATGATCTTTCATATTCATACTAATATCCTTTTGTTTTTGGGTCACAACCCGCAGAGCTCTGGGCTTGCTCCTCGCGGGGCACAGGGGACCACATGGGTTTCAGGGATTGAACCTAAGTTGTCAACATGCAAGGCAGATGCCTTACCCATTGTACTATTGTTCCAACCCACTTCTTACTCGTTTTGATTCAAAAGCAAATTGACATCAAATTTAACATACTGGTAGTTGACTACCCCTGACAAGAAAACAGTCATATGGGGACTCTGTATACTTTTCTCTTGCCACACCGGCTACCCCAGGTCGTGAGCAATAGAAGCTAAAATTAACAAAAGGAGATAACTCACTTGCTGATTGGCCATAGTATGATACCACCAGAAAAGTCTTGTGGTGATGTAGTATGCCACCACCACGTCCACAGTGTAGTGGTCATGCGCTAAGAGAATACAGAAGATTCCAACCACGCTGAGAAGCCAGCAAATCCAGTGGTACCACCAGAGTCGTCGAGGAGAATCTGAAAAGAAGAGAAATTTGCAGGAGCCCCATTATTCAAGGTTAACTCTAAGGGCACACAAACATGCCTCCACTGCCATTTCTGAGTCCCATTAATTGTAGTCTCTCTTTCCCTCTTGTGGATATCCCAAATGGCTTACGCTACCAAATCTAAGTTTGTATGTAACCAAGGGCAGAGTGGAAGCAGCTTATTTATAAAGTAACTCTATTCACAATAGTAATTTATATCTGGTTAAGAACTGACTCATGATATGAATGCTCTTTTGTGTTGTTTGGGGGCTGTACCTGATGATGCTCAGGTTTTACTCCCAGTTCTGCACTGCAGAATTACTCCTGGTAGTATACAGGAGATGACATCAGGTATCTGGGATAGGTCAGCTGCTTGCAAGGCAAACACCCACCCTGCACTATTGCTCCAGTCCTTGTATTCTAAATGATAAACAAGGGCAGGTAATGCACCATTAAATGAATTTTTAAAACTTCACTAACGTCTAATTCAATTTACCTACAAAAAATTGGGGAATTAGAAATTTATAAAAAAAAATCAGTATTTGGCTTATGGATTCTTACACCTAGCGTAGGCAAATTGGTACAGCTGTCCCATTTGTTTTTCAAGCCACATAATCATACAAATCTAAAACGTCTTAAAGATTTTCATTTCTCAAATACAAAGAGGAAAGAATTCAAATGCCTGAATTTGGATTTAAAAGATCAAATAGAATTATAGTTCTATAGTTCAAGTACACTCCCAAAGACCAGGAAATATCAATGAAATACTTGTAAATGTGTGCTTGAACTCCAATGGAAAGTCACTTAGAGTACACTCTCTTTCTCTCTCATTCTCTCTCTCTCTCTCAAATGATATGACACTGATCAACTAGTGTGAGTCCCTCATTAGGAACCACCTCTCCATGAGAATTAGTTTAGATTTCTTTTAATCGCTTAAGATATGATCCACCATCTGTTCCCACTTTCCAGCTCATTATTCTTGTTTTTCATTATTAGCATCACTCTGGATTTTAACAATATGAAACTTCCTAAAGGTGTCACTTAAGACTCTGCTCCTAAGACTTCACTAGGTAACAATTTATGTCCTTCCTCTTTAATACTTACTGAGTATTATGTTGACAACTGAATTTTCTATAAGTATAGAAACAAATAACCTGTAGTAAAATTATAGTAATAAAATACTAAGCAATTAGAATGAACCTATCTTAAAAGTTATTTAAAAATAAAATAAAGTGAATCTGTTTCACATCTCAAAAACACAATTTTGGAGAAAAAAGTGGCCAAAGATTAAATATATAACATATAAATCAGGATACTCATTAAGGTAAAAAAAAAACCAAGCAAACCCCAAACCACTGACTCCATGGCATGATAAAACACATGTAGAAAAATTTACATGGAAATAAGTGATAGAGAAAACTGGAAAGACGAATGGCTTTAAACATCTCTTAACATTTAACTTAAATTTTAAAGGGCTCTCTTTGAAATAGACATGGCAAATTCTAATATATGTTAAATCTGAATAAATATGCTATAGTATACAAGGCGATCTGTAATATCATTTTTATGTGTTTCCTAATAAATATCTAGAGTACATTTTTGAAGGGAAAGTCCCCATAGCAATAGTATCCATCACTAACCGGACACTAGTCTGCATCATCAGTACCCGAGTGCCTGCCTCTCTGAGGGGAGAGACATTATCCACTCATCACCTTCTCCTCATTCCAGACCAGAGTGTCAGTGCCTTGAATAAATGGCCAATAATGGCCACACCCAAGCAGGCCTAGCAGCTTGAAAATTCCCCAATATTATAACTGAACTTAAGGAAACACACCTGCCAGCAAGCAGTTACTTCCTTCCACCTGAATCACCTGCCCCCCCATGTCCTCCTCCCCCAATGCCCACTGTGTCTAGGTATGGCCACAGCGCTGCCCTCCCAAGACATGGGAAACGAACAGGAAAGAATTCTCAGGCTTCCATATTCGTTAGGACTTACACTCTTTGATAAATAGGTAGGTGAGTGTGAGCATGACTGTGTGTCCACTGTATAGATAGTCTCCACACATGTTGTGTGAGCCAGTGATTGACAAGCCGCCACCAGCAATGAGCTTCATGATTCTCCGCAGTTGGGCTTCCCAGTCTCCAAAAAGCTGGGGGTGGAAGCGAGGAGAGAAAATAGGATTCATTATTAAACCACGGAATGTGTTCTGTGAGTACAATTTATATTGAAAGTTAAGCTTTGTAACATCGTGACTTCCAAGAAATACACATTCCTTCTTATTGACATAGTGCTTCCACAGCTTTTGGAATTTCCAGAGAGGTAGCAGTATCTTTGGTTTTTGTTATTCACAACAAACCCCTTTCACCACATCTGACTTTATTATGAATGGCATGACTTTTGGCAAGGCCTTAAGGATAGGAATAGCTGCTGGGGAACCAATCAGGTTACAGAGGGTAGAAACTTTTGGTACCATTTCCCCCAGGAACCAAGAGGGTTACTTTCCCAGGAAGTGGAAGCACTTATCAAGAAGGATCAAGGATTAAATACAGTCACGGTCACGGTCCTCCCGTTGTTCATCGATTTTGCTTGAGTGGGGCCAGTAACGTTTCCATTGTGACACTTGTTACTGTGTTTGGCATATCGAATACGTCACGGGGAGCTTGCCAGGCTTTGCCGTGCAGGCGAGATACTCTTGGTAACTTGCTGGGCACTCAAAGAGGGGCATAGGAATCGAACCCGGCTCAGTCGGCTGGGCTGGCTTTGTACAAGGCAAACGCCCTACCGCTGTGCTATCTCTCCAGCCCAACGATTAAATAAACCTTTCTTATAGAGTAAGGTTGCTACAAATATACAGAAAAATGAGTTTGGGAGGCAAACAGGTGATCGGGGAAACACAATACCTTTAAAGGGAGAATGGAGGGCTGGAGCAATAGCACTGCAGGTAGGGCGTCTGCCTTGCATGTGGCCAACCCAGGTTACATTCCCAGCATCCCATATGGCCCCTGAGCACCGCCAAGGATAACTGCTGAGTGCAGAGCCAGGAGCAACCCTTGTGCATCGCTGTGACCCAAAAAGCAAAAGTAAAAAAATAAAAAAAATAGGGGAAATGGAAGGTCTCTGCCCTTTCCCTCTATCTTGCTCTATGCATTTCTTCTGCCTGGCTATTCTTTAATTACACTCTTTTATAACAATCTGGTGATCTGGTAAGCAAAATAATTTTTTTTATCTCTGGGATGCTTGAGCAAATGAATCAGAGCCAATGAAGGGGATCACAGCACTCTCCAACTGGGAGTCTGTGAGAAGTACAGGTGCCGTTCTGAACTTGCAACTGGTGTGGAGATGGAAAGGCAAGGAGATAAATCCTTAATCTACCTCCTGTTAATTACATGATATCAGATGAGTGAAAGAGAGTTGGAAAAATCTTTTGGTACAGGACAATACCCTCCTTTCCTTGGGTTTTTAAAATAGAGAAGATACTGAGGGGTTTTTCCTTTATAGCCTTATATATATTTAATAGTTTTGTCCAAGTCATTTTCAGTACTCCTTGAATGGCTCTTGGTAAGAGTATGGTCTGAGATATGAAGCATGTGCTTCAGAACCTTCTTTTTAGTAGTTGTTTACTCATTTAAAAAGTACACACTAATAAAGACGAACTCAGTATCATTAATATTGAGGTAAAACTCAGAAATATTTCACATATTTGCTCCTAGAGATTAACTATTCTACTAAGTTAGCTAAAGCAGGTGGAGATTGAGGCAGTCAACATATGATTATTTTTGACATATAATTTTGGGACAACAAACTGAGACACAGAACTGAAGTAGTTACATCCTCAATCTTTTGAAAATATGTAGAAGTGAGTATCTTTACTTTTTTTTTTTTTTTTTGCTTCTTGGGTCACACCCAGTAATGCACAGGGGTTACTCCTGGCTCTGCGCTCAGGAATTACCCCTGGCAGTGCTCAGGGGACCATATGGAATGCTGGGAATCGAACCTGGGTCAGCCCTACCCACTGTACTATCGCTCCAGCCCCATCTTTACTTTTAAATGAGACTGAAAATAAATTAGCCCAGCTCTGCTACCAATCTGTGTTCAATATTGGCAGGACTAATGACTTGAATACTGACTCACTGCAACTTTTAATCGCTCTTTGAAACAAAACATCCACTTGTTGCTATGTTTGTTAGGACTCTCAAATTCTGATTAGCCAATTTAATAACTGTAACCCCTTTTTAATATTTTCTAACTCCTGGAATGATGATATTCTGGGTTAACAGTCCAGGTAATATGATAATTTTCCAGGTGGTGGGAAACATGTTTCATTACCATGCATCTTGGAATTAAAGCTCAATGTACTGGGCCCACGCTGTCCCTGTGGGAAGCGCGAGTTTGACTCCTGGCAGTGCCTGGTGACCTAGCAACTTTAACTTCAATCCCTAGAAATTCCGAGCACAGATTTGCGAGTAGACCCTGAGTATCCTGGGTGTGATCATCATCATCATCATCATCAAGACAAACTGAGGATAAAATTAATCTACTCTCGTGTGTGTGTGTGTGTGTGTGTGTGTGTGTGTGTATGATTTCAAAATAGCATCTACCAGTGGTTGCTGAGGATATGCTCTCCAAAGCAAAGAGTGAAAAAGAAACAGGCTGAAGAGCAAGGGCAATACACCAGGGAAGTGAGGTTTCTGCGGGGTGAGCCAGGACTCTCAGGAGCACCTAGGGGTGCAGGTGTGCCAAGGGATGGGGGTGCGTGTGCAGGGCGACACATGGAACAGAACCCCCATGACCGCACAGACAGGAAAGTCTCAAGTTCAGGGGCAGTAAAAGCCAAGAAAACGAATAGAGCAAGAATGTGACAATTATCAAACACTCTCGGAAATAAAACATTGGGCCGAAAAGAAAAAGTAATTACAGAAAACTACATGATTTGCTTGTGAACAAAATTGTAACCATGTATGCACTAAAGCAAAGACAGAAGAACCCTGGGAAAATGGAAGATATGTGAGGTCCCCAGGGGGAGCTTGAGGGCAAGGGAAGAAAAGAAGGAAAAGGCCAAGAGGGTGTGTAGGCAGCTTCCCCCCCACCCCCCAGCAGGAGACTCTGGCCTTCTGCTTAGAAAGTCAATACTATTGTCTGCCTAAGAGACAAGAGTACCTTGTAGAGAACAATAGGTAAAGGTAAAGGCCCTCCCGTTGATCGTCGATTTGCTCGAGCGGGCCCAGTAACGTCTCCATTGGAGACTTTGTTGTTACTGTGTCTGGCATATCCAATACTCTCGGTAGCTTGCCGGGCTCTCCGAGAGGGGCGGAGGAATCGAACTCGGGTCGGCCATGTTGGCCGCTTGTAAGGCGAACGCCCTACCCGCTGTGCTATCGCTCCAACACATTATAATAATATGACAAAAAGAAAATGCTATAAACATATGAATAATGCAATACTGCCGGAACTTAGACTTGAAGACACACACACACACACACACACACACACAATGAAAAGGATGAAAGATATAATGGTGACACCACAAGGTTCAGTTAAAAGGAGCAGGGAAACGGGCTGGTTAGAGGCCTATTGTTCTTCTAAAGAAGTCATTCTGGGCTCAGAACTCTGCCTAACACCGTGTACAAAAGTAAGATCAAAATGGATTAAAGACCTCAACACCAGACCAGAAACCATAAGGTACATTGAAGACAAAGTTGGCAAAACCCTCCATGACATTGAAGCTAATGGTATCTTCAAAGATGCCACGCCACTGGCCGAGCAAGTGAAAACAGAGATAGATAAATGGGACTATCTTAAACTAAGAAGCTTCTGCACCTCCAAAGAAACAGTGACCAAAATACAAAGACAGTCTACAGAATGGGAAAGGATATTCGCCGAATACACATCTGACAAGGGGTTGATATCCAGGATATACAAAATACTGGTTAAACTCCACAAGAAGAAAACATCCAACCCCATCCAAAAATGGGGCAATGAAATGAACAGAAACTTTCTCAAAGAAGAAATCCGAATGGCAAAAAAGCACATGAGAAAATGCTCTACATCATTAATCATCAGGGAGATGCAGATCAAAACCACAATGAGATACCATCTCACACCTCAGAGACTGGCCCACATTCAAAAGAACAAAAGCAACCAATGCTGGCGTGGATGTGGCGAGAAAGGGACACTCCTTCACTGTTGGTGAGAATGTCGACTGGTTCAGCCCTTCTGGAAAACAGTATGGACGATTCTCAAAAAATTAGAAATTGAGCTTCCATTTGACCCAGCAATACCACTCCTGGGAATCTATCCCAGAGAGGCAAAAATGTATAGTCGAAGTGACATCTGCACTTGTTTGTTCATTGCAGCACTCTTTACAATAGCCAGAAACTGGAAGAAACCTGAATGCCCAAGAACAGATGACTGGTTAGAGAAACTTTGGTACATCTACACAATGGAGTACTATGTAGCTCTTAGAAAAGATGAAGTCATGAAATTTACATACAAGTGGTACAACATGGAAAGTATCATGCTAAGCGAAATGAGTCAGAAAGAGAGGGATAGACATAGAAAGATTGCATTCATCTGGGGGATATAAAGTAACAAAATATGAGATTAATACCCAAGAATAGCTGAGATCAGCACCAGGAGGATTACTCCATAGCTTAGTGGCCAGTTGGGCATTCTAGAGGAAAGGGCAGCTCAGATAGAGAAGGGAACACCAAATAAAGGGTGTTTGGAGGTCCCTCCCAGGAGGGAGGGGAGATGCATGTCGAAAGTGGACTATGGACTGAACATGTTTGCCACTCAATGCCTCTTTTGCAGACCACAACACCCAAAAGGAGAGAGAGAACACAGGGGATTGCCCTGCCACAGAGGCAGGGGGGGATGGGGGGATGGGGGTGGGGGGGATATTATCCATGGTGGTGGAAAATGGGCACTGGTGGAGGGATGGGTATCTGATCATTGTATAATTGAAACCCAAGCACAAAAAATTGTAAATCTACAACTGTATCTCATGGTGTTTCACTAAAAAAAAAAAAAAAAAAAAAAAGAAGTCATTCTTCTCCATTTTATTTTTCAAGATGCATTCCTGTTATAGAAATGCCAAAATTTTCCTACAAGCTTACTAGAAACTTTGGGTTAGCTCTGTCATAACAATGG